CCAAATCCACCTTAATTAATCAATTGTGTTAATTACCTTACCTATTATTTAAGTGACAGTTATAATATATATTGACTAAAACGTTAACAATGAATGCAAAGCACGACAATATAGATTTGAAATGAATCACAAATCATTCACTAAATAATAAACCATTGTAGTCGAGAAATGAATTTTGCACTTTAATTTATGTGTAAAGGTTGATCCAACTTCATCACATGTCCATTTTTCTCCTGTCAGTTCATCCTAACTTATCTCATACATATACATATGTAATTTCTTGTTCAAGGTGGTCACACCCTAGGGTTCGCCCACTGCTCCTCCTTCATAAACCGGGTCAACAACTTCGACTCCACCCACAACGTCGACCCCACTCTAAACCCTAGCTTCGCCGCCAGTCTGAGGAAGACATGCCCCGCCCACAACAAGGTCAAGAACGCCGGAGCAACCCTAGACTCCACCACCGCCACCTTCGACAATGCCTACTACAAGTTATTAACCCAAGGGAAGGGCCTCTTCTCTTCGGATCAAGCTCTTCTAACAAACCCTAAGACCAAGAATCTTGTCGACAAATTTGCTACATCGCGAGAGGCTTTTGATGAGGCTTTTGTTAAGTCTATGATCAAGATGAGTAGCTTGACTGGTGGGCAGGAAGTGAGATTGGACTGTAAGGTGGTCAGATAATCATCAACTTTAAGACTTATATTGGAGAAAACAAGTCAAATTCTTCTGGTTCGCTATCTTAAATTGGTGAGAAAGCGAGATTGTTTTAAGTTATTTAATAGGGATTTGGGTTTTTATATGTGTTAGCGTTTCATATGTGTTCAATAAGAGGAAAGGTTGGACTAAATGGGACAACTTTTCCAGTGGAATTGGGGCATGTTCAGTTTGTGAGTTTGGCTACAAAAGTATAGACTAGTCCTTTTGTATATTGTTACAAATTTGGTTCATTCTTAGTAATCACGCATTTGTTTGGTTTTCATGTGGCTCGGTTTATTAGATTCTTGATGTCTTTATCTCAAATTGACTTATCAATAGTGTGCTGGAAAGTTGGTTTGTAGTTAGAAAGCAAGCAATAAGCACAGTTACCTAGTTAACAAAAGACTTCTCTCCACACCCCCCACCCCCCCACCATATATATTATATATATATATATATATATATAATAATATATATATTATATATATAAATATATAATATTATTTATATATATATATATAGAGAGAGAGAGAGAGGAGAGAGAGAGAGGGGGGGGGGACTGGGGAAGATCTGGCCAGCGTTTTCCCCCGTGCGCTACAAGGTTTTTTGATAAAAATCCACTGTTTTAAAATAAAAGTCATCTCTCTCTCCATGACCCAGCCCCCTTCACATCCCCAGCTCCCTCTCTCCCTCTCCCTCCTCCCTCCCTCTCCATCCCTCCTCCCTCCCTCCCTCTCTCTCTCTCTCTCTCTCTCTCTTCTCTCTCGCGTGACCCCAACTCTGCCGACCAACTCTCTCTCTCTCCCTCTCGCAGCTATCCTTAGAAAGCGAGCAATAAGCACAGTTACCTAGTTAACCAAAGTTACTCTCTCTCTCTCCTCTCTCTCTCTCTCCTCTCTCTCCTATCTCTCTCTCTCTCTCTCTCTCTCTCTCTCTCTCTTCTCCCCCCCCCCCATATATCTATGTGTGTGTGTGTGTGTGTGCATACATACATACATACATACAATATATAGAGAGAGGAAACTGGGGAAGAGCTGGGCCAGTGCTTCCCCCCCCCCTCGTGCGCTGCAAGGTTTTTTGTTAAAAATCCACTGCTTTTAAAATAAAAGCCATCTCTCTCTCTCATGACCTCAGCCCTCTTCAAATCCCCAACTTCGCTTTGACCCCAACTCCCTCTCTTCCCTCCCTCCTCCCTCCCTCTCTCTCTCTCGTCTCTCTCTCTCCTCGCTCTCTCTCTCTCTCTCTCTCGGTGACCCTACTCCGCCCCAACCAACTCTCTCCCTCTCCAGCTATCCTGCTCGATTCGCGAGCCAACTTCCCCGACCAACTCTGCGAGCCAACCCCATCAAGCCCTCTGCCATTAAGCTCCTCCTACGCCATTAAGCTCCTCCTCCTCTGGTATTAAGTCCACCACCATCAAGCCGACTCAAAATCTCATTCTTTCTCCTCCTAGTCTCGTCATCACTCTCGTTGTCAATCTGCTGATCTCACTGTCGATCTGCTGATCTCGCCATCGAGCCCCTTCCCTCTCCACAAGCCAACTCCGGTGCCATCACTCTCTGTTTGACTCTCAGGTACCTCAGCTCCTTTCATTTCCAATCTCTACAATATCTTCCCCTTTGTATCTGTAAAAATCTCCTTTTCATTCTTACTTGAATCACGATTGATTTAGGGATTAGGGAGGTAAACAAGGGAATGAGATAGTGATCTTCATCTTTTTCCTTAAATTTTTTCATTTCTAGAGCTTTTTATGCTCGATTTATGATCTTATCATGGTTTGATTTAGATCCGAGCTCTTTTTTCCCCAAAAGTTAGGGGTCTAATTAGAAATGGAATTAAACCTAATAGTTTTATTTCCTTTAACTAAGAGAATTTGTGATGAGCTTGAATTTTCCTTCTTTTTTTGCATGCTAATCATTGTAAATGTGTTATCTTGGTGGTATTTTAGGCGTGCACCTTTACTAATATGTTTATATATGATGATAATTTGTATATGATCACTTTAGGAATGTAAGGGTGTTTGTGAAAGTTTGTTTATTCATTGCTAAACTTATTATAACGTTGATCGTTATAACAAGTTTGAAAGGAAAGACTTTTTATAAGATTTCTTACACAACGAAAATGAAAATTACAACTCTCTCTTCAAACAACACACAACAGATATTTATCTCATGTTGTTTGAGTGGGATTTTTGTCTGTGTCAGGGTTTATCTGTGAACCATTGCGGATCAGATCCGATTGAACGGAATAAAATATCAATGCTCTTGCTTCATAAAGGAAACAATCGTAGAAGTAAATAATCTTGACCAACCGATATTACTACTCTTCTCGAGATCAAAACCAAGTTTGATCTCAAGGTATGCTGGCACGGACCTCAGATCTTTTGAACAACTTCCTTTTATGCTGGAATTCGCCAAGATCTGCTAGCCCTCCTCTGAAATTCGTGCTACTGTACTCTCCAAACCAACAACACCTCACTCCCTTTGATAGAATTTCATATCCTCTACGTATAGGGCCCTAGACTTGTATTTATAGACTTTAGTTGCGGTGTTTTTGGATAAGAACAAGTAATTTGGTCTCATCTTCAGTTAATAACAGTCTAACCATGTTTAGGGATGATATCCAAGCAGCTGGGAGGCTATAAAACGAACAAATCCTGAGAAAATATCGAAATATACGTTTTTGGGAACCAATGTGTGAGTCTGTTCAACATGAACCGGCCCTGTACGGGTCACCTTAGGATGACCCGGCCCTATGCAGGTCACATTAAGGTGAGCTGCATGATATTTTGGTCTTAACTCTCTCGTTCGACTTCGGAATGAGGTAATTCAAGATACGTCGGAAAGCTGATAAGGAGACCTACAACTTTTATTAATTTTCCAGATTCGATGCGTGCCACATTGAAAAAGAACTTTTTTGTCCGGGTCACATTAGGGTGACTCGCACGTGCGCGGGTGACCTTAGGGTGACCCGCATGGTATAATCTCCTTAACTCTCTCGTCTAACATTGGAATAAAGTGATTCAATATGCGTTGGAAATCTGACAGGGAGACTTACAACCTTTATCTTTTGAGATTTTTTGGATTCAAATCTCATCATGGTCAATTTTTCATTTCTTTGTGTGGGTCACTCTAGAGTGACCCGCACGTGTACAAGCCGCCTTGAGCCCTCCTGATTCTATTTTCTTCGTTATTTCACACATTTTGACATTTCACGTGCATTCTTTTACTTCTTTTTACAGCATCAAATGATCATCTTTGACTTGGATAATCCTCTCTGACTCGGATAATAACGTTCATCGCCTTCTCTTTATTTCGAACTACGTGCGCTTATAGGTAATTTTTGACACCTACAGATACTCCCTCCAAAGTGTTTCAGGACCATTCTTTTATTGAGGAGCCTAGAATACTTTGAATATAATACGCCCAACCTTCAATTCGTCGACTTCTTCAGCTTTCAGTCTATTTAGTGTTTTATCGAATAGCTAAAATTCTTTCGGTACTGTGTTTATAGTCTGACCGTTGTTAAAATTATAAACTAAGATTGGCATGTTAATATCTGAATTAGCTCATGTCATTGAATCAATGTTGAACTAATTATCTTCGTTGAGAGTTTATATATGATTTGTGGTTGAGATCCCTGGGGATTATCCTTTTACCTGGAATTGATCTGAGCCTTGTTTTGGTGAAATTATAAATACGTTGGTTGGTGCTGACCTTCATGGCAATGGGTTGACCTGCTGTAGGCTGTCTAAAAATCACAACGGATAGCTAATCCCTATCAAGCCCTGACAATAGAAGTCACGATCAGCCGACTTTCTAATCACTGCAACCGCAGCTCTACAACCGCTACAAACACGACCTCATTTTTGAGATGATTGATCTTGATGGCTGCGACAACAGCATGACTAATACTATATTAGAGACTATTAGAGATGCTGATGAGCAGTGTAATGATTTTAGAAATGAAAGGTTGGACTTAGCTGGTGAGTTGCTTGGTAGAGAGTTGTGGGCAAATATTCATATAAAAACACTATGGATGTTGATTCCCGTCAAATTCCAACAACGAAAGCTACAATCAAATAGCTTTCGTGCCAACAATCGAAAGCTACAGATAGAGGATTTTTCACACAGATCGAGAAGAGTTACAATTCGACGACGCTTCCGACAGTTGATGAAAACTCTGTTCAGTGGCCTTCGCAATCAACAGTGAGAGTTACAATCTGACGACTCTCATATTCTATAACAGGCAAAGATCAATAAGCAATAGCCTTTGCAATGTTATAATGGACGAGGTTACAAGTCAACAATCTCTCTCAAACGCAGAAATTCACTTCTGCATTTCTCAAATTCAAAACGCACACAACCTGTGTGTTCCTCAGTAGACATTGAACTCTGTAACGCAGAGTTAAATCATGAAACGCACACATAACGTGCGTTCTTCGACAGACTTAACTGTGTCCCAAACTCTGGACGCAGAGTTGAACTTCAACGCACCAGTGACCTGTGCGTTTCCAATTCCAGAACGCATGCGGCCTGTGCGTCTCAAATCTCTAACAGAGATTTAACTCTGTGTCTCAAGCCTTGGACACAGAGTTACGGACCAGAACGCCAATTGGGGCATTTTGACTTGTTCAAACACAAGCTGAACGGCCTCATAACCGTTTATCCCATGTTCTGAGGGATTCTCGCCCACAAAGGAGTGGAAATAGGGGTTGGTTACACCCCTTATCCCCCTATAAATAACCGACTTACTCAACTAAGTAAGGGGGTTGATCGGTTTCTAGCAGTAAAACCGCATAGGGTTAAGGTAAGCTGGCATCACAACCGCCCAAGGTCAACAAATCTCAGCAGTTCAACAGCACGAAGAAGGGGATCTTTTGAAAATCAAGGAACTGATCAACGATCAGTTAATCAAATCCCAAAGGATCCTTTCATCAACGGCATAATCCACTTGGCAATTAACCGAATCTTCGGTTCCAACAACTCTTTTACAGAGTTTCAACTCGCTCTAAGTTTTGAAACTCATTTAAGGGTTCGTGATTAAGTTTGCAACCCAAATTAATCACATCAAACCAGATATTCGGTTTTCAACAACTCTTATCAGAGTTTTCAACTCGTTCTAAGTTCTTTACACTCGTCAAGAGTTCTAAACCGAAGTCATCAAGCAATTCAATCGGTCTCGTGAGATAGGACGGTCGGATCGTCAACGGAGAGCAAGTTCGACATAATCAATCGAAGGAGGTACTCCATCGCTACCAAGAAGAACCCAGTTTTAAATAAA